TTTGGGGAATAATATTGAATTTTGGGTGTTCTCGGGCATTTCGGGAGCGGGGCTCGCAGCCCGGCCCGGGAGTGTTTTGATTTATTTTTATAAATCGCATTTCTATTAATTTATTTCCGTGAATTCTGTTCACTCTCCAGTTCCGTGTTCGTTGCGTCAGGCCGAGCGTTTCGTTATTTAGGATTTATTGTGGTTTTTGGGTATTTTATATCAAAAAAAGCTTAAATTTTTAATGTTAAATATCGATATTCTATTTATTTATGATATATTTGATTCTATTATATACTGTATGTTATAAATGATATATTTTATATGTTATAAATGATAGATCTGATGTTATAAATTATGTATTAGGTATTATAAATTACCTGGTTTGTATTAAATATGGTAAATTATATATTTTCTGTTAGGTTTGATTAAATATTTATTTGATCGTGTATTTTATGTGGTTTTTGTTGTGTTTTATGTTCTTGGTGTTTCCACTTTTCCCGGTTTTGTTGTTGCAAGAAATGGATGGATGAGAGAAAATTTTAAAAATTGAAAGGAAAATAAAAATAAAAAATAAAAATAAAAATAAAAAGGAAAATAAAAATAAAAATAATAAAAATAAAAATAAAAATAAAAAGGAAAATAAAATAAAAAGGAAAATAAAAATAAATATTAAAAAATAAAAATAAAAAATAAAAATAAAAAATAAAAATAAAAAATAAAAATAAAAAATAAAAATAAAAATAAAAATAAAAAGGAAAATAAAATAAAAAGGAAAATAAAAATAAATATTAAAAAATAAAAATAAAAAATAAAAATAAAAAATAAAAATAAAAAATAAAAATAAAAAATAAAAATAAAAATAAAAATAAAAAGGAAAATAAAATAAAAAGGAAAATAAAAATAAATATTAAAAAATAAAAATAAAAAATAAAAATAAAAAATAAAAATAAAAAATAAAAATAAAAAATAAAAATAAAAATAAAAATAAAAAGGAAAATAAAATAAAAAGGAAAATAAAAATAAATATTAAAAAATAAAAATAAAAAATAAAAATAAAAAATAAAAATAAAAAATAAAAATAAAAAATAAAAATAAAAATAAAAATAAAAAGGAAAATAAAATAAAAAGGAAAATAAAAATAAATATTAAAAAATAAAAATAAAAAATAAAAATAAAAAATAAAAATAAAAAATAAAAATAAAAAATAAAAATAAAAATAAAAATAAAAAGGAAAATAAAATAAAAAGGAAAATAAAAATAAATATTAAAAAATAAAAATAAAAAATAAAAATAAAAAATAAAAATAAAAAATAAAAATAAAAAATAAAAATAAAAATAAAAATAAAAAGGAAAATAAAATAAAAAGGAAAATAAAAATAAATATTAAAAAATAAAAATAAAAAATAAAAATAAAAAATAAAAATAAAAAATAAAAATAAAAAATAAAAATAAAAATAAAAATAAAAAGGAAAATAAAATAAAAAGGAAAATAAAAATAAATATTAAAAAATAAAAATAAAAAATAAAAATAAAAAATAAAAATAAAAAATAAAAATAAAAAATAAAAATAAAAATAAAAATAAAAAGGAAAATAAAATAAAAAGTGTCTGTGTCACTCACAGGTGTGACAGCCAGGTGTGCGACGGGGTCACAGGTGTGCAAAGGTGTCACAGGTGTGCAAAGGTGTCACAGGTACACACAGGTGTGCAAAGGTGTCAGTGTCACTCACAGGTGTGACAGCCCAGGTGTGCAGAGGTGTCACAGGTGTTACAGGTGTCTGCGTCACTCACAGGTGAACAAAGGTGTCCCCAAATCCTCAATGTCACTCACAGGTGTGACAGCCAGGTGTGTGACGGGGTCACAGGTGTGCAAAAGTGTCACGGTGTGTCGCACTCACCTGTGTGACAGTGTCACAGGTGTCTGTGTCACTCACAGGTGAGCAAAGGTGTCACAGGTGTCACAGGTGTCACACTCACCTGTGTGACGGTGTCACTTCAGTGTCACTCACAGGTGTGTAAAGGTGTCACAGGTACACACAGGTGTCACAGGTGTCACAGGTGTCTGTCACACTCACTGTGTGACGGTGTCACCTCGGTGTCACTCTCAGGTGTCACAGGTGCCACAGGTGTCACACTCACTGTGTGACGGTGTCACCTCAGTGTCACTCTCAGGTGTGTAAAGGTGTCACAGGTACACACAGGTGTCACAGGTGTCACAGGTGTCTGTCACACTCACTGTGTGACGGTGTCACCTCAGTGTCACTCTCAGGTGTCACAGGTGTCACAGGTGTCACAGGTGTCACAGGTGTCACAGGTGTCTGTCACACTCACTGTGTGACGGTGTCACCTCAGTGTCACTCTCAGGTGTCACAGGTGCCCCCCCCGCCCAGGTGCACCCAGACAAAAACCCTTTACAACCAATTAAAAAATTAAGATTTAAAACATTTGAAGGTGGAGGAGGAAAGAGAGAATTCCGGAATTCGGGAACGGCCGTCCCAGCCCGGCTCGGAATTCCCGGGATTTCACCGCCCGGACGGGATCCCAGCCCCGGCGCCTCGGGGAGAGGGACACAAAAGGGCCCAAAGTGACACAAAGGGACCCAAAGTGACCCAAAGTGACACAAAAGGGCCCAAAGTGACCCAAAGTGACACAAAAGGGCCCAAAGTGACCCAAAAGGGCCCAAAGTGACCCAAAGTGACACAAAAGGACCCAAAGTGACCCAAAGTGACACAAAAGGGCCCAAAAGGACACAAAAGGGCCCAAAGTGACCCAAAGTGACACAAAAGGGCCCAAAAGGACACAAAAGGACCCAAAGTGACCCAAAAGGACCCAAAGTGACCCAAAAGGACCCAAGATGACCTGAAAAGGCCCCAAAAGGCCCCAAAATGACCCGGAAAGGCCCCAAAAGGACCCAGAATGACCCAAAATGCCCCAAACTGAAGGAAGGGGCGGGAAAATCCTGCCGGGAATCTCCGAAGCCGAGGGAGATGAAAGGGGGGGATGGGAACGGGGCTGCCTCCGATGTTTGGGGTCTGTGGCACCCCAAAAACGGAAATTCCCGGGAATTGTAATGGGAATGGGGTACCGGGAATGGGGGTGGGATACTGGGAATGGGAATGGGACTGGGAATGGGGAGAAGGAATGGGAATGGGATACTGGGAATGGGGGTGGGATACTGGGAATGGGATACTGGGAATGAGATACTGGGAATGGGATACTGGGAATGGGGGTGGGATACTGGGAATGGGATACTGGGAATGGGATACTGGGAATGGGAACGGGGCCGCCGCCCATGTTTGGGGTTCGTGGCACCCCAAAAACGGAAATTCCCGATTTCCTGGGGATTGTCCCCACTGGGGAGGGGACAGAGAATGGGATTGGGATTGGGTATGGGGGCAGGGAATGGGAATGGGAATGAGATGCTGGGAATGGGGACAGGGAATGGGGACAGGGAATGGGATAAAGGGAAGGGGAATGGGAATGGGAATGGGAATGGGAATGGGATAAAGGGAAGGGGGACCGGGAATGGGGACAGGGAATGGGATAAAGGGAATGGGGACCAGGAATGGGGACCGGGAATGGGGAAAGGACCGGGAATGGGGACAGGGACACAGGGAAGGGGAATGGGAATGGGAATGGGGACAAGATAAAGGGAATGGGGACAGGGAATGGGGACAAGGAATGGGATACGGGGAATGGGGATGGGAATGGGGACAGGGACACAGGGAAGGGGAATGGGAATGGGAATGGGATAGGGATGGGATACAGGGAAGGGGGACTGCGAATGGGGACAGGGATTGAGATTGGGATACTGGGAATGGGGTGGAGATGGGAATGGGACAAGGAAGGGAAGGGGACAGGGAATGGGAATGGGGTAGGGAATGGGAATGGGAATGGGATAGGGATGGGATACAGGGAATGGGGATGGTACGGGGACAGGGAACGGGGAAAGGGGACAGGGATTGAGATTGGGATACTGGGAATGGGATATTGGGAATGGGGTGGAGATGGGAATAGGAATGGGAATGGGGTGGAGATGGGAACGGGAATGGGAATGGGGTGGGAATGGGGTGGAACCCTGAAAATTCCGACTTTAACTGGGCCGAAACTTTCTCTTCTTAGCCCGGATTTATCGGCCCTGATCGTGAATTATTAATTTATGATAAATTTAATTAATTTCATCCATTTTTTGGGTGGGGTTGGAGGGGATTTGGGGGCTTTGAAAAACAACAAAAAACCACCAGAGACGGAAATAAAACAAATCCACACCGAGCGCTTTTATTGACCACGGAGACCGTCACAGAACGCACCAAAATTCCCTTTTTATTGCAATTTTACAACGAGCAGGAGGGGGGGAAAGTCAATAATTCCATTTTTCCATTTTCTCCGCTCAAAAAACACAAAAAAAACCACCACAAAACCCCCTCGGAGCAGCTTTTTGGGGCAAATAAATGGAATTTTTGCCTTTTTTTGCTCCCTTGGTGATGGTTTTTTTCAAATTTCTTCCCCCTCCCCGCCCCCAAAATTGAGATTTTTCGGCTTTTTTTTTGTCCCCCTCGCCAAAATTTGGCGGTTCCTGTGCATTTGGGGGAAAAAAATCACAATATTTTGGTTTATTTTGAAATATTTTTGTGGTTTTAACCCCCCAACCCCCCCCAAGGTTTTCTCTTAACCCCCCCCAGGTTTCCTGCACCCCAAAATAAATAGAAAATAAATAGAAAATTAATTAAAAATCAATAAAAAAAATAAATAAAACCCTGAAAAAGGGGGTGAAAAACCCGTTTTTGGAAAGTTCCTCCAGGTGCGGCCACCTGGGCTCATGCGACCTCTGACATGCAGCTAAAATGGGGGGGTTAATTAAATAATAATTACAATAATTAAATATTATTAATAATAAAAATAACAGGGGGAATTGAAAGCGGGGTGGAGTTTTTGGCACGCACAGGGGATTAATAAAAGAATAATTAAAGTAATTAAATGTTAACAATAAGTGGGAGAATTGAAAGAGGGGTCAAGCTTTGACAGGCACAGGGGATTAATAAAAGAATAATAATTAAAATAATTAATTAATAATAATTGGGAGAATTGAAAGAGGGGTCAAGCTTTGACAGGCACAGGGGATTAATAAAAGAATAATAATTAAAATAATTAATTAATAATAATTGGGAGAATTGAAAGAGGGGTCAAGCTTTGACAGGCACAGGGGATTAATAAAAGAATAATAATTAAAATAATTAATTAATAATAATTGGGAGAATTGAAAGAGGGGTCAAGCTTTGACACACACAGGGGATTAATAAAAATATTAATAATAATAAATAATAATTTTAAAATTTAAAAAATAGAGGGAATTTAGGGGGAGTTTTGACATATAGGGGGATTAATAATAATAATAATAATAACAATAATAATAATAATAATAATAATAACAACCCTTTTAAAAAGCTGATTTTTGACACCCGCAGAGGGTTTAATTAAATAATAACATTAATAATAATAATAATAACAAGAAAATACCAACAACCAAGGGAGAATTCCTCGCCCCCCGAGGCCAAAACCCCCCAAAACAACACAAAAACCCCAAATATAGAGATTTATATATTAGAATCTATCCAAGCCAGAGTCCCCGCACGGCGCGGATTTTTGGGGTGGGAAATTGGGAAATTCGCATTTTTCCTCAAAAGCTGGGCGGGAAATCCGGAATTTTCGTTATAACCTGGGCGAAAAATCAGAATTTCTCTTCTAATCTGGGTGGAAAATCGGAATTTTTCCTCAAAATCCGAATTTCCTGTCCCAGCCTGTGCAGAAAACCGGAATTCCCGTTACAACCAGGACAGAAAAATCCCAATTTTTGCTGCATCTCAGGCGGAAAAATCCGAATTTTTTGGAATTCCCCAATCCGTGCGGAAACCCAGATTCTGGATACGGCCTGGGTGGGAAAATCCGGATTTTTCGCTATAACCTGGGCAGAAAAATTCGAATTTTTGTTACACCCCGGGCAGAAAAATCCCAAATTTTCAAATTTCTGCTACAACCCAGGTAGAAAAATCTGAATTCTTGCTACAACCAGGGCAGAAAAATCAAAATTTCTGCTCCATCCAGGCAGAAAAATCTGAATTTTTCACATTTTTACTACACATTGCGCAGTAAAAATCTGAATTTTTAGACTTTTTCGCTGTAACCTGGGCAGAAAAATCCGAATTTTCCTACTTTTTCTTTATAACTTGGGCAGAAAAATCCGAATTTCTGCTGTAACCTGGTCCGAAAAATCCGATTTTTCCTACTTTTTCTTTATAACTTGGGCAGAAAAATCCGAATTTTCCGAATTTCCGCTACAACCCGGGCAGAAAATCCCGAATTTCCTCTCTAACCCAGGCAGAAAAACCCGAATTTTTCGACTTTTCCGCTCTAACCGGAGGAGAAAAATCCGATTTTTCCTACTTTTTCCTTATAACTTGGGCAGAAAAATCCGACTTTCCGCTCTAACCCGGGCAGAAAAACCCGAATTTTTCGACTTTTCCTTATAACCCGGGCAGAAAAACCCGAATTTTTCGAGTTTCCCGCTCTAACCGGGGCAGCAAAACCCGAATTCCCGATTTCCCCCGTCACCCCCGGCTCCCCGCGCGCTCCCGTTACAACCTGGTGATGTCCTCGGCGCGCTCCGCGGGCTCGGCGGGCGCGGGCGCCGCGCGGGTTTTGGTGTTGGGCAATTTGTGATCTTTTTTCCACTTCATGCGGCGGTTCTGGAACCAGATCTTGATCTGGCGCTCGCTCAGGCTCAGGGCGTGCGCGATCTCGATGCGGCGCCGCCGGGTCAGGTAGCGGTTGTAGTGGAACTCCTTCTCCAGCTCCAGCACCTGCTGCCGCGTGTACGCCGTGCGGGAGCGCTTGGGCTCGCCCCCCGAGAAGTTGGGGTTCACTGGAGACGGGGGGGAAAGGGGGGGAGCGGGGTGTTTGGGGATTATAGGGGGGTGTATGGGGGAAAAGTGGGGGAAAATGGGAAAAAAGGAAAAAATGTATAGGGGGAATAAAGGGGGAAATTAAAGGGAAAAAAAGGTGGAAAAAGGGGAAAAAAAGGGGAAATGGATAGAGGGAGTAAAGGGGGAAAATATAGGGAGGGAAAGGGGGAAAAAGAGTAAAAAATAGGATAGAAAAAAATCAAATTAATAGGAAAAAACCCACCAAAAATCAGGTTGATAGACAAATAAATACAGGGGGAAAAATCAGATTAAAGGGAAAGAAAAATGCGCCAAAAATCGGGTTAACAGAACAAAAAAAAAACAAAAAAACCCCCAAAAAATAAAAAAAAAAGGGAAAAAAGGAGGTAAACAAGGAGGGAAAAAAAAAAAAAACCCAGGGCAACAGGAAAAAAATGCAGTAAAAAATGAGGTAAAAAGGGAAAAAACATAGGAATAAAAATTAAGGTTAACAGGGGGGGAAAATTAAGGTTAACAAAAAAAATAAATTAAATAAAATCAGAGAAAATATACTTTACAATAATCAAGTTAATAAAAAAATGTGGTGAAAAAATAAATAAATAAAATAATTAAATTAGGTAAGCAGGGGAAAAAAGGCCAAAAAATTGAATTAATGGAGAAAAATAAAAGAAAAGAATCAAATGAACAGAAAAACAGCAAATATTCAAAAATATAAAAAATACAAAAAAAAAAGAGCAATAAAAGTCAAATACGGAAGAAACCGAGGTTAAATAAATCAAATAAAGGCAAAAAAAAACCAGAAAAAATATTAAATGAACAGAGAAAAACACGGCGAGGAAAGAAAACAAAAGCAGGAAAGAAAAATCCAGAAAAAAATGAAATAAACAAAAAAAAAATCAAAGAAAAATAAATAAATAAAAAGCAAAGAAAACAAGAAAAAAAAAAAACGAAACAAAAAAAAATTAAAAAAAAAAATGGATGAAGATAAGAAAGGAGAAGGAGAAGAAATAAAAGGACAAAATAAAAGTGGGAAAAAATTAAATTACGAAGTAAATAAAGGGCGGAAAGGAGAAGGAGGAGAAAAGTCAAAGGACAAAATAAAAAGTGGAGAAAAAAAATTAAAAATTCATAAATAAAGGGAGGAAAGGAGGAGAAAAAGCAGTGGAAAAAAATGAAAATTAAAAAATAAATACAGAAAGAAGAAAAGGAGAGGGAGAAGAAAACCTAAAGGACAGAAATCCCTGGAAATTCAATTAAAAATTAAATTAAAAAGGAAGGAAAGGAGCGAGAAGGAAACCCAACAGGGGGAAAAAAAAAAAAAAGGGGGGGAAATTAAAATTTAAAAAAATTTAATAAGAAAAGGAAAAAAAGGAGAAGAAAACTCAATGGGAAAAAAATAAAAAATAAAATAAAATAAAAAATAATTAAATGAGGGAGGAAAGGAGAAGAAAACACAACGCAAAAAAAAAAAATTAATATTAAATAAATTAATTAAGAAGAAAAGGAGAAGGAGAGGAAAAATAACCCCGAACGCACAAAATCCTCCAAAAATCCCCAAATTCAACCCAAAACACGGCAAGAAACCCCAGGAACAGAAGGAGCGAACCCCAAAATCCCGAGAAAAAACCCAAATATCGGCAAGGAGGGCTCCCCCCGCTGGGAAAAGGGGAATAAAAATGAGTCAAAATGAATTAAAAATGAATAAAAACGAAGAAAAATTGGTAAAAAAGTGGATGAAAAAGTGAAGAAAATGAATTCAAAACGGATAAATAAGCGAAACAAAAAGTGAATGGAAAAGCGAATTAAAAATGAAGGAAAATGAATAAAAAAAGTGAATTAAAAAGTGAATAAAATGAATTAAAAATGGATAAATAAGTGAATCGAAAAGCGAATTAAAAATTAATAAAAATGAATTTAAAAGTGAATAAAAAATGAATTTAAAAAGTGAATGAAACTGTGAATAAAACGAATTAAAAACGGATAAATAAGCGAATCAAAAAGCGAGTTAAAAAGGGAATTAAAAATGAATAAAAATGAATAAAAATTAATAAAAAAGTAAATAAAAATGAATTTAAAAAGTGAACGAAACACTGAATAAAACGAATTAAAAACGAATAAATAAGCGAATCAAAAAGCGAGTTAAAAATTATTACACAAGCGAATAAAAAAAGCGATTTTTTTTTTTTAAATGGAGTGAATAAAATAAATTCAAAACGAATAAATAAGTGAATCAAAAAGCGAGTTAAAAATGATTACACAAGCGAATAAAAAAAGCGATTTTTTTTTTTTTAAATGGCAATAAAACAGTGAACGAAAAGGGCTGAAAACAGCGAATAAAAGTGAACAAACCGCGCGGGATGCCGCGGAGCGCGCCCGTCAAATCGGGATTTACGGCCGGGGTAAATCCGCTCCGCGGGGCGCGCCCGCGGAATCCCCAAAAAAATCCCAAATCCGGGCCCGGAGCGGGAAAAAAGCGAATTTTTGGGGGGGTCGGGGTGAGGATGGGCAGAGAAATGGGGCGGGAAAAGGGAAAAAAAGCGAATTTTGGGGGGAAATTGGGGGGATCAAAGGCAAAAATAAAGGTTTTTTTTAATAGAGGATTGAGTGAGGATGGGCAGGGAAATGGGGCGGGAAAAGGGAAAAAAAGGGAATTTTGGGGGAGAATTGGGCGGGAATCGAAGGAGAAATAAAGTTATTTTTTAAATAGAGAATTGAGTGAGGATGGGCAGGGAAATGGGGCGGGAAAGGGGAAATAAAGGGAATTTTTGGTGGAAAATTGGGAGGAATCAAAGGCAAAAATAAAGTTATTTTTTAATAGAGGATTGAGTGAGGATGGGGAGAGAAATGGGGAGGAAAAAGGGAAATAAAGGGAATTTTTTGGGGAGAATTGGAGGGAAATCGGGTGTGGAGGTAAAAATAAAGTGGATTTTTGGTGGAGAATTGAGGAGGAATCGAAGGAGAAATAAAGTTATTTTTTAATAGAGAATGGAGTGAGGATGGGGAGGGAAATGGGGAGGAAAAAGGGAAATAAAGAGAATTTTTGATGGAGAAAAGGCTGAGGATGGGGAGGGAAATCAAAGGGGAAATGAGATTATTTTTTAATAGAGAAAAGGCTGAGGATGGGGAGGGAAATCAGTCAAAAAGGGGGAAATAAAGATATTTTTTAACAGCGAACAGAGTGAAAATTGGGAGGGAAATGAAGTTCTTTTTGAGCAGAGAGGATGGGGAGGGAAATCATGAGTGGAGGTGAAAATAAAGTTATTTTTTAACAGAGAATGGAGTGAGGGTGGGAAGGGGGAGGAAAAAAAAAGTTATTTTTTTAGCCGGGACAGAGTGAGGAAATCCAAGGAAAAATAAATTTATTTTTAGCAGAGAGGATGTGGAGAAAAAAGAGGCACAGAGGTAAAAAATAAAGTTATTTTTTTTAGGATGATGAGGAGAAATTAAATTGGTTTTTAGGAGAGAAAAGAGGAATGGTGCAGGAAAACAAAGGGAGAAATAAAGTTAATTTTTAGCAGGGACAGGGAGAGGAAGGCGTGGAAATCCAAGGAAAAATAAATTTATTTTTAGCAGGGAAAGAGAGAGGAAGGTGTGGAAATCCAAGGAAAAATAAATTTATTTTTATGGGGAGAGAAATGGGGAGGAAAAAGGGAAATAAAGGGAATTTTTGGGGAGAATTGGAGGGAAATCGGGTGTGGAGGTAAAAATAAAGTGGATTTTTGGTGGAGAATTGAGGAGGAATCGAAGGAGAAATAAAGTTATTTTTTAATAGAGAATTGAGTGAGGATGGGGAGGGAAATGGGGAGGAAAAAGGGAAATAAAGTGAATTTTTGGTGGAGAAAAGGCTGAGGATGGGGAGGGAAATCAAAGGGGAAATGAGATTATTTTTTAATAGAGAAAAGGCTGAGGATGGGGAGGGAAATCAGTCAAAAAGGGGGAAATAAAGATATTTTTTAACAGAGAACAGAGTGAAAATTGGGAGGGAAATGAAGTTCTTTTTGAGCAGAGAGGATGGGGAGGGAAATCATGAGTGGAGGTGAAAATAAAGTTATTTTTTAACAGAGAATGGAGTGAGGGTGGGAAGGGGGAGGAAAAAAAAAGTTATTTTTTTAGCCGGGACAGAGTGAGGAAATCCAAGGAAAAATAAATTTATTTTTAGCAGAGAGGATGTGGAGAAAAAAGAGGCACAGAGGTAAAAAATAAAGTTATTTTTTTTTAGGATGATGAGGAGAAATTAAATTGGTTTTTAGGAGAGAAAAGAGGAATGGTGCAGGAAAACAAAGGGAGAAATAAAGTTAATTTTTAGCAGGGACAGGGAGAGGAAGATGTGGAAATCCAAGGAAAAATAAATTTATTTTTAGCAGGGACAGAGAGAGGAAGGTGCAGGGAAAGAGGCCGCGAGGAGGAGAAATAAAGTGAATTTTTAGCCGGGGCAGAGTGAGGGTGGCGTGGAATCAAAGGGGAAAATAAAGTTATTTTTTAACAGGGGGCAGAGCCAGGGTGGGAAAAGAGGAGCGGGAAGTGAAGTTATTTTTTAACAGAGTGAGGGTGGAGAGGGAAACCAAACCAGAGGGGAAAATAAAGTTAATTTTAGCAGAGAGAGCGAAAACGGTGCGGGAAATCATGAAAAATGAAGTTATTTATTAGCAGAGAGGGGGAAAACAAAGGCAAAAATGAAATTTTTTATTAGCAGAGAGAGGGGAAACAAAGGCAAAAATAAAGTTATTTATTAGCAGAGAGGGAAAACAAAGGCAAAAATAAAGTTATTTATTAGCAGAGAGGGAAAACAAAGGCAAAAATGAAGTTATTTCTTAGCAGAGAGAGAAAACAAAGGCAAAAATGAAGTTATTTCTTAGCAGAGAGAGGGAAAACAGAGGCAAAAATAAAGTTATTTATTAGCAGAGAGGGAAAACAAAGGCAAAAATGAAGTTATTTATTAGCAGAGAGAGGGAAAACAGAGGCAAAAATAAAGTTATTTATTAGCAGAGAGGGAAAACAAAGGCAAAAATGAAGTTATTTATTAGCAGAGAGAGGGAAAACAAAGGCAAAAATAAAGTTATTTATTAGCAGAGAGGGAAAACAAAGGCAAAAATAAAGTTATTTATTAGCAGAGAGGGAAAACAAAGGCAAAAATGAAGTTATTTCTTAGCAGAGAGAGGGAAAACAGAGGCAAAAATAAAGTTATTTATTAGCAGAGAGGGAAAACAAAGGCAAAAATGAAGTTATTTATTAGCAGAGAGAGGGAAAACAGAGGCAAAAATAAAGTTATTTATTAGCAGAGAGGGAAAACAAAGGCAAAAATGAAGTTATTTATTAGCAGAGAGAGGGAAAACAAAGGCAAAAATAAAGTTATTTATTAGCAGAGAGGGAAAACAAAGGCAAAAATAAAGTTATTTATTAGCAGAGAGGGAAAACAAAGGCAAAAATGAAGTTATTTCTTAGCAGAGAGAGGGAAAACAGAGGCAAAAATAAAGTTATTTATTAGCAGAGAGGGAAAACAAAGGCAAAAATGAAGTTATTTATTAGCAGAGAGAGGGAAAACAGAGGCAAAAATAAAGTTATTTATTAGCAGAGAGGGAAAACAAAGGCAAAAATGAAGTTATTTATTAGCAGAGAGAGGGAAAACAAAGGCAAAAATAAAGTTATTTATTAGCAGAGAGGGAAAACAAAGGCAAAAATAAAGTTATTTATTAGCAGAGAGGGAAAACAAAGGCAAAAATGAAGTTATTTCTTAGCAGAGAGAGGGAAAACAGAGGCAAAAATAAAGTTATTTATTAGCAGAGAGGGAAAACAAAGGCAAAAATGAAGTTATTTATTAGCAGAGAGAGGGAAAACAGAGGCAAAAATAAAGTTATTTATTAGCAGAGAGGGAAAACAAAGGCAAAAATGAAGTTATTTCGGGACAAAGTGAGGATGAGGAGGGACGGCAGAGGTGGGAATAAAGTTCTTTTTGAGCAGAGAAGCTCAAGGAAATGCAAGGCGAAAATGAAGTTATTTCTCACCAGCGTGAGGATGATGAGGGAGATCAAAGCCGAAACTGGAGTTGGTTTGGAACAAAGTGAGGATGATGAAGGAAACCAGAGGTGGAAATAAAGTTCTTTTTTTTTTTTTTTTGAGGACGGTGGGGGAAACCAAAGTTAAATCAAAGTTATTCCTGAGCAGAGTGAAGATGCCGAAGGAAATCAAAGGTAAAAATGAAATTCTTCCCAAGCAGAGAGGTGAGGAGGATGAGGGAAATCCAAAAGTCAAAAACAAAAAGTTCCTGCCGAGCAATGCCAGGAGGGAGCCAGGCCGGCTCGCCGAGCCCCTAAACTCCCAGGTTTTTCCCCAAACCGAAGTTTTTTCCCCCAGTCCCGGAATTTCCCCCCAATCCCGGAGTTTCCTTTCCTCAATCCGGGAGTTTCCTTTCCCCAATCCCGGAGGATTTTCCCCAAACCAGGAGGATTTTCCCCAATCCCTGAGGATTTTCCCCAATCCCGGAGTATTTTCTCCAATCCCGGAGTTTCCTTTCCCCAAACCCGGAGGATTTTCCCCAATCCCGGAGGATTTTCTCCAATCCCGGAGTTTCCTTTCCCCAATCCCGGAGTATTTTCCCCAAACCCGGAGGATTTTCTCCAATCCCGGAGGATTTTCCCCAAACCCGGAGTTTCCTTTCCCCAATCCCGGAGTATTTTCCCCAATCCCGGAGGATTTTCCCCACGGACTTTCCAAACCCGGAGTATTTTCTCCAATCCCGGAGTTTCCTTTCCCCAAACCCGGAGGATTTTCCCCAATCCCGGAGGATTTTCTCCAATCCCGGAGGATTTTCCCCAAACCCGGAGTTTCCTTTCCCCAATCCCGGAGGATTTTCCCCAATCCCGGAGGATTTTCCCCAATCCCGGAGTTTTCTTTCCCCAATCCCGGAGTATTTTCCCCAAACCCGGAGGATTTTCCCCAATCCCGGAGTATTTTCCCCAATCCCGGAGGATTTTCCCCACGGATTTTTCCCCAATCCGAGGGGTTTCCTCCAATCCCGGAGTTTGTTTTCCCCAATCCGGGAATTTTTTCCCCCAACCCCTGAGGTTTTTTTTTCCCCCTGGAGTTTACCTCTAACCCGAACTTCTTTTTCCCCCTGGAGTTTTCTCCCCTAAACCCTTTTTTTTCTCCCTAGTACCTTTTTTTCCCTCCTAATCCCGTTTTTTCCCCTCTTAATCCCATTTTTTCCCCTCCTAATCCCGTTTTTTTCCCCTCTTAATCCTGTTTTTTCCCCTCCAAATCCGTTTTTTCCCCCCAAATCCTGTTTTTTCCCCCCAAATCCCTTTTTTTTCCCCCAAATCCCCTTTTTTTCCCCCCAAATCCCCGTTTTTTCCCCTCTTAATCCCGTTTTTTCCCCCCCAAATCCCCGTTTTTTCCCCCCAAATCCCGTTTTATTCCCCCCAAATCCCGTTTTTTCCCCCCCAAATCCCCTTTTCCCCCCCAAATCCCGTCTTTCCCCGTCTCCTACCGGTGCTGACGTGGATTTTCTTCATCCAGGGGTAGACCACCGGCGCCTTCCCCGCCGCCCCTCGCTGCCCCTCGGGCTCCCCGCACGGCGCCGGCCCCGGGGGCTCGCAGAGCTGCGGCTTCTCCGCCAGGTGCTGCCTCCCTCCTCCTCCTCCTCCTCCCCCCGCTCCGCGGAGCCCCCCGCAGCCGAAGGGGCGCTCGGGGAAAGCCCCGCGGGTCCCCCCGAAAATCTCGGCGTGCTGCTGCGGGAAGCCGGGCTCCCTCCGCCCGTAGAACTCGGCGCCGGGCTCGGGGATGTAATTATTCTGCGAATATTCCTCGCATGGAGGGAATTTCGGATCGATGTAGTTAGAGTCCATCAAATAAGAGCTCATGATCATTAATTTCTGGAGTGGAAAATAATTTTTCTCGCTTTGTCGTTTTTCTGCTCCATAAAGCCCTCCTACTCGCGGCCGCCCCGTAAAGTTACTTTCACCATGTGACGGACGCGGCCAATCGCGCCCGGCCCGCGGGCCCCGGATCAGGAACCCAAAGAGGAGAGAAATTCACCCAAAACGGGGGGGGCACACGTGGGAGGGACGGGGGGGACACAGGGACCCGGATCGGGCGGCGGAAGGGGCGGAAAATTGGCCAGAATTGGGCTGGGAGGAGAGGGAGGGTGAGGGGAGAGCTCAGAGCGGGGGTTGGAGAGGAAAATTCCGGGGAATTCACCCAAATTGTGATGGGGATGAGTGGGAGGGGGATTTGGTCAAGGGAGTGCCCAGAGCTGGGATAAGGGAGCGAAAATTCCGTGGAATTCACCCAAATTGTGATGGAGAGCAGTGGGAGGGTGACGGGAGATCCCAGGCCATGGGCAAGGGAGTGAAAATTCCATGAAACTCACCCAAATTGTGATGGAGAAGAGTGGGAGGGTGATTTGGGTCAAGGGAGTTCCCAGAGTTGGGATAAAGGAGCAAAAATTCTGTGAAATTCGCCCAAGTTGTGATGGTGAAAAGTGGAAAGGGGATTTGGGTCAAGGGAGTGCCCAGAGCAGGGATAAGGGAGCGAAAATGCCAAAAATTCACCCAAATTGTGATGGAGAAGAGTGGGAGGGTCAGGGGAGATCCCAGGCCAGTGATAAGGGAGCAGAAACGCCATAAAATTCACCCAAATTGTGATGGACCCAGGCCAGTGATAAGGGAGCAGAAATGCCATGAAATTCACCCAAATTGTGATGGAGAAGAGTGGGAGGGGGATTTGGGTCAAGGGAGTGCCCAGAGCTGGGATAAGGGAGCGAAAATTCCGTGGAATTCACCCAAATTGTGATGGAGAGCAGTGGGAGGGTGAGGGGAGATCCCAGGCCAGTGATAAGGGAGCAGAAAGGCCATAAAATTCACCCAAATTGTGATGGGGAACGGTGGGAGGGGGATTTGGGTCAAGGGAGTGCCCAGAGCAGGGATACGGGAGGGAAAATGCCAAAAATTCACCCAAATTGTGATGGGGAAGAGTGGGAGGGGAAGGGGTTAACTCAGGCCATGGGTAAGGGAGCGAAAATTCCATAAAATTCCATAAAATCAAAAATTCCATTAAAATTCCATTGAAAATCCATTAAAATTCCACAAAATTCCATAAAAATTCCACAAAAATTCCATAAAAATTCCACAAAAATTCCATAAAATTCCACAAAATTCCATAAAAATTCCATAAAAATTCCACAAAATTCCATTAAAAATTCCATAAAATTCCATAAAAATTCCATTTAAATTCCATAAAAATTCCATAAAAATTCCATTAAAAATCCATAAAAATTCCATAAAAATTCCATAAAATTCCATAAAATTCCATCAAGTTCCGTAAAGTCCCCGAGCTGTGGTGGGGATGGGTGGAATTGAGATTTGGGGGGAGGGGCGAGCCCAGGCCGCGCGTGAGGGAGAGAAAATCCCATCAATTTGCCCCAAATTGTGGTGGGAAGCAGCGGGAGGGGGGACCAAGGGCCGGGAACCAAAATCCCCCAAAATTCCCCCAAATCTCAGCTGGGGCCGAGGAGCCAGGCCAGGACTGGAGAAGGGAGGAAAAAACTCCCTAAAATTGCCCCAAATTTGGGAGCTGGAGCGGGTTGGGATGGGTTGGGGTGGTTTGGGATGGTTTGGGGTGAGTTTGGGGGGATTTGGGGACGTTTTTGGGATGGTTTTGGTTGTATTTGGAAGGATTTAGGATGGTTTGGGGTGGGTTTGGGGTCACTTGGGACGGTTTCCGTGGCTTTAGGGTGGGTTTGGGATGAGTTTGGGTGGGTTTGGGATGAGTTGGGGTGGTTTGGGGTGATTTCTGTGGATTTAGGGTGGGTTTGGGGTGATTTGGGGTGGTTTGGATGGTCTGTGTGGATTTGGGATGGGTTGGGGTGGTTTGCAGAGGTTTGGGATGATTTTGGGGTGATTTGGGGTGCTTTAGGACGTGCTGTGGATATTTTGAGGTGCTTTGGGCCTGTTTTGGGTGGCTTGGGGCAGCTTTGGGCGGATTTGGGGCTGTTTGGGGTGGTTTGGGGTGGTTTGGGATGGTTTGGGGTGGTTTAGGGTGATTTGGGGTTGTTTGGGGCGGTTTTGGGGAGGTTTAGGATGATTTGGGTGAGTTTTGGATATTTGGGGTGGTTTAGGATGGTTTGGGATTGTTTGGGGTGGTTTGGGATGATTTGGGGTTGTTTGGGGCGGTTTTGGGGAGGTTTAGGATGATTTGGGTGAGTTTTGGATATTTGGGGTGGTTTAGGATGGTTTGGGATTGTTTGGGGTGGTTTGGGATGATTTGGGGTTGTTTGGGGCGGTTTTGGGGAGGTTTAGGATGATTTGGGTGAGTTTTGGATATTTGGGGTGGTTTAGGATGGTTTGGGATTGTTTGGGGTGGTTTGGGATGATTTGGGGTTGTTTGGGGCGGTTTTGGGGAGGTTTAGGATGATTTGGGTGAGTTTTGGATATTTGGGGTGGTTTAGGATGGTTTGGGATTGTTTGGGGTGGTTTGGGATGATTTGGGGTTGTTTGGGGCGGTTTTGGGGAGGTTTAGGATGATTTGGGTGAGTTTTGGATATTTGGGGTGGTTTAGGATGGTTTGGGATTGTTCGATCTCCCCCAAAAACCCCCCAAAAAAGCCGAATTTTTGGGATTTCCGCTGGGAATTCCAACCCCCGGCACCCCGGCGATTTTTGGGCTTTTTTAAGGGTTTTTTTAGGATTTTTTTCGTGTTTTTTTCCTGTTTTTTTCGTGGTTTTTTCGGTTTTTTTAGGTTTTTTTTCCGTGGTTTTTCGGTTTTTTTCAGGTTTTTTCGGTTTTGTTTTTTTTTTTTTTTTTTTTTTTTTTTTTTTTTGTTGTTATTTTTTCGGTTTTTTCCGGTTTTTTCGAGTTTTTCCAGGTTTTTTTTTCGTGTTTTTTTCGTGGTTTTTTTCGGTTTTTCCCGGGTTTTTTTCCGTTTTTTTCGGATTTTTTTCTTTTTTTTTCGTTTTTTTTCGGGTTTTCCATCCCCCCGAGGCCTCGGGGTGAACAATTATCCCAGAAAAAAGCCCTTTCCCGGCCATATTTTACCCGCTAACAATAAAAGTGACACATAAAGTTAACTGTTTATGTTTTATTTATTAGCCCTAAATGTGCCAGCGGTGGCGGAGGCTTTGGGGCTGCTTGTTCCAGCTTTTTATGGGCTTGTAAAAAACCATAAATCACTCGCGGGAGCTCTTTTGTGCTCTCCCTGCTCGCGTTTCTATTTTATTTTTTTATTATTATTTCAAAAAAAAAATTAAAATTAAAATAGGATTTTATTTGGATTTTTCCCCCCCCTCCAATTCGGGGATTTAAAGGGAAAAAATTTAAATTAAAACGGGATTTTATTCGGATTTTTTTCCCTCCTGTTTGGGGATTTAAAGGACAGGAAAATTAAATTTAAATGGGATTTTATTGGGGCTTCCCCTCTTTTTTTTATTATTTTTTTAAGCCTCATAAAAGGAAAAAATAATTGAAATAAAAATAAAATTTGATTGGGGTTTCCCTTCTTTTATTGCTCGTTACGTCGCGCCTCGCCCCGTGTTTGTTTTTAATTTTTAATTATTATTAACGAGGTGGGAGCCGAGGGCCTCGATGACGTCAGCGGGCAGGGATTAATTAGGGACAGCCGCAATTAAAAAAGGCCAATCAGAACCTCCCTGGATTTGGGGCTTTTTTCCCTGGATTTGGGTTTTTTTATCCCCTTGAATTTTGGGGTTTTTTCCCCAATTTTGGGGTTTTTTTCCCCCCTAAATTTGGGAATTTTCCCCCTCTCCCGGATTTGAGTTTTTTTGCCTAAATTTGGGACTTTTTCCCCTCTAGATTTGGGGGTTTTCCTCCAAATTTGGGACTTTTCCCTCCTGGATTTGGGGTTTCCCCTCCCCCGGGTATTTAGGGTTCTTTCCCATAAATTTGGGATTTTTCTCCTGGATTTGGGAGGTTCCTCCGAAATTTGGGGGTTTTCCCTGGATTTGGGGATTTTCCTTCTAAATTTGGGGTTTTGTTCCCCTGGATTTGGGGGGTTTCCTCCTA